TCGTTTATTCTCAAGCCTTTACCTAAGCTTATTGACGTCCACCACAGCAATAATTCTGTAATCCCGAGAAGAGAGTATAAAATAATAATGCACAACAAAGTATACTGTTTTGCAAGTCCACGCTTACACAAAGTGGCGACGAAAAATCTAGTTTCTTCTATTTCTTCAAACGATATGGCGATTTCAAAATCAAGATTGATCTGATTACTAAAGAAGAACCTGTGTAACTGAGGAAATAACAGTATAACACAGTCCCTGCAACAGAACCATCAAGCATCTTAAACCGCATCAGGGAGGCCAACACTCCAAGCACGTTGGAGCATACCAACAACACAGGGTAGGCAAACTCCATTACCTTTCTAAGTTAACTTTTTGTTTTCGACTCTAGAAGGAGCCACACGCAAACCAGAGAGCTGCATGAAAAGTAACAAAGAAGTAAGTTCGCTTCTCTGTGGTACTTTCAAAACATTGCAGCCTGTTTCTTCTTTACCTTCTCTGCTAGCGATACTTACCATGGTAAACTGAATTTTAATTACAAATAAACAATAACCATGAAAATTAAACTTAAAAAGCGGATTTACAATAACCAAAAATAATGATTACTGCTATATTTTTTTAGATTCAATGGAGAAACAGTAAGAAGGGAGAGAGGAAGAAAAGTAAGTGAACACAACAAAAGCTAGGCGAGCAATCAGACCTCGCCACGTGTGCAGCTTCTGTACCTCGTACAAGGCGTTAATGATAAACTTCACTGATTAATAACGTCACGTGGCGGTGTTTAACTTTCCACAACAACAACGATCAATCTACACATATGACATGTTAACATAATAAACTCAGTTCTTGAAGTTGTCAACCTTCAACATTAGAGAGTAGAAGGTAACGTTTGTTTAATTTATGCTCGCAACTCAAAGAGGGCTTTATCAGGAAAGGGAGGGTATCGGTGAAATATAACTTTCTCTCCATACTAAGGCTTAATCAAATCCTTCTGTTAAAAGTGCGTCGTATTTGATAAAAAATAATCGACTTTTGATGTTATAATAAAACTCCTTACCCAAAGTTTCCGCTAGAACAGCATCCGCCATTAATGTAAAAACCACCAATCTCACTTTTAACTCTGTACTAGCTTTCGCAAGTGTACTACCTACGCTCAAGATGGTTGTAAGTTTGTATAAGATAAAGGTTATTAATGATTTTTTTTTAAATGGTGATTATAATAGAAATAAAACACACAGACCTCTATATCCATTGTCTTATAAATTTATATTTGTCTTCGCAAATAAATGATTGATATTTTAAACAGCTTTCTGCATAATTACAACAGGTCGGCTTAAAGTGGTGTTTTGAATTCCGCTGCTTTCCTGAATACTGTGCTATGCGAATTTTTCCGCTTTCTTTGTAAAGGGTGAAAAATTTCTCCTTCGAAACGTTTGCTGTACATTGTTTAAACAATTTCTTGCCATAAAAATTTCGATTTTCTGTAAGTATCGATAGCCAGGAATTCCCCGCTAACCAAATATATTGGTGTTGAGTATGTAGTATGTGTCACCACGGCTCGGCGACACGCTACTATATTAACATTTGCAAATCGTTTCTATAAAGTGCAACTAACCCTTTGCAGCCTGTGCAGTCCTAATCGAATTTTAGTATTTTTATTACAATACAAATTATATTTCAGCTTAACTGTACAGAATTATACTAGTTTTCAAGAATAATTATCTCAAGGAAAGTGAACTTTCATCCAAAGTAATAAATATATTAATTTCTAAAGGAAGACCCTTTACCACAAAGCAATATAATAATAAATATTGTTTTTTTAGCTTTTTATAAGCACCAAGTATTACAGTTAAACCCTGATCTCATAACTACGTTATCACTGTTCATAAATGTAATTACACAACAACAGTTAATTACCAAATTCACCGCCGAGTTTTAAGGTATGATTGAAGGTATATAACGATAAAATATTCGGCCTTCGATACAAGCTTAATTTCGGCATCACATGCTTGTACGTGCAGTAGGACATGCGAATTATTATTTTAGGGTAGACGAATGCTTCCTAATTCTTTCTCGTAAAGATTGGATTGTTGACCCAATATATCTCCTGTAGCACCTAAAATAGGTATATTTATACACAATCGTCGATCTTTGGAAGTTTACTAAAATGAATATTCAAAAGACTGGATAAACTCTGTAACAAAACAAATCCCACGATTCTTTCAGCTTAAACTGAGCATACTATCGATGTTTGCTGTATTAGTTACAGATCATTTATCCTAAAAGACCAACTTATTCAACTTCCATGAAACACAATCCATAGATTTATCTTTGAATTACCTTCGTAAGTCATTTCAGAATTTGGAAGATTTCTTATTTAACAAGGGTAAAAGTTCTAAATTATTTCAAAATTAGCAAATAAACCATTTTAAGTTTTCTTGTGAAACTATCCTATTTCATAACCTTGCTCTATACGTTGAAATAATGGATTCAGGAAGAGGAGAATATATCCATTTTCAATTTCAGCAACATTTTTTTTTTACATTTGGATGTTATTTGTTCAGGAATTCAAGAAATAAACTGATTTTGTGTCGATTCTAAAATGTGACGAGTGTCATCTACATACCTTGTATAACAATGTAGTTTAAACTCCAAAAGTCAATATCCCAGTGGCACAGCGGTATGTCTGCGGACTTACAACGCTAGAATCCGGGTTTCGATCCCCGTAGTGGGCAGAGCACAAATAACCCATTGTGTAGCTTTGTGCTTAATTACAAACAAACAAAACCAAATGTCGATTATCTAATTAATATTTAAATATGGTAATAGAGGAATATTTTCTTAAACTAAGCATTAATCTAAACCTCATAACACCACCATCAATTTTTTACAGGTTTTATTATTAAAAATAAAATACGAGTCTTTAGAACCCAATTCCAGAAACTTCTTGGAATACCTTTCCCAATATTTTCTTTACGATAAACTGAACTGGTAGCTAATCCAATGTAATTAGATATTCCATATGAATATTGGCCATATAAACAGTGTGTTGGCAAAATTCATGGTTTTAATACTATTGGAAAAAACGGAGCTATTTTTGATATTGTTACTAGAAAAACATAGAATGTCAAGAAAGTATTTACATAATTATTTAATTTGTAGTTGAAGATGCTAATGTTTGAAATAATGGGTGTTATTGATGTTTTATTTCCGTTTCTTAAGTAAACCCTATTGATTGGCATTAAGAATGTCATACATTTTAAGAAGGTAGTCCTCATTATTAGGGTTTAGTTGTGATGATGTCATTACATCATTTCAATTTTAGTATTAAGTTCCATTCAGAGGAACTGGGAACATAAGGATTCTTATTATAGCTGTATTTGTGAAGATAATTTAGAACAAGATTGGTAATAGTTATACTTATCATATCTAAAAATTAAGTCAGTTTGACCCCAGTTTCAAGATTTTATGGAAATGTTTTGGAAGTTGTAAAAAGTAAAGTGGAGAGTGGTAAAATAAAAACCTCTAGTTAATACCCTTCTAGTAGTATAATCTAACTGCAGATTGGATAAGTTGATAATGATGTTTTTGAGGTTGACTAAAAAGCTTTTGTGATTGGGCCTATCCAAAAGGTGTTTTGTATATAGTGGATAGTTGTTAGAATTTTGATAATAATGTTTCAGTGGCATTTTAATATAATATGTTATATTAAATTGTTTTGAATATTCAAATAAGCAATTCACTTGACAACCACAGCTGATATACAATCGCCATGGAATGGCTTGAATCAGAACTACATTTTGACATTGTTTGGCATTTAGAAGGAAGTTTGATGCCACTGAAAATTGATCGCTTTTGGGAATGATAAGTAGCAGCCTTTTCCAGTGAAAAATATTCATACCTTCAGATCAGGGATTAAGAATTTCCAAGACAGGAACATAACTATACTTAACAGCATTGAAAAACAAAAGGAAATTAATCAACTTATGTTACCAAGCCCATCCAGAAAGAGATCTGCAACAAATTGCATTCCAGTTGTGGTACTCACAGTGGGCATTATGTAACAGACGAGAATCCACAAACACAAGTCAGTAAATCAAATTTCTAGAGGGTCTGTCATCAAAACTAGTTAGTGCTGGTTTACAGAAACATAGAGACTGCCAACATAAGTAAATCAGAACACTGAAGGAACTGCTATCAAAACTAGATGGTGTTGGTTTACAGGAAAGTAGAGGTTAACAACATGAGTAAATCAGAATACTAGATTGATTGACTGTTTTGAATTTTGTGTAAAGCTACACGAGGGCTATCTGCACTAGCTGTCCCTAATTTAGCAGTGTAAGACTAGAGGGAAGGCAGCTAGTCATCACCACCAACCACCAACTCCTGGGCTACTCTTTTACCAATGAATAGTGGGATTGACCATCACATTATAATGCCCCATGGTTAAAAGGGGTGAGCATGTTTGATGGGATGGGGATTCGAACCCACGACCCTCAGATTGCGAGTCAAGTGCCCTAACTACCTGGCCATGCCAGGCCTCAGAACACTAGAGGCCATTCCCTCAAAACTTGTTTGTGCTGATTTACAGGAATGCAGGAGCTGACAACATGAGTAAATCAGAACACTGGAGGGCTTTCTATCAAACTAAATGATGTTGGTTCACAACATGAGTAAATTAGAACACCGGAGGACTTTCCATCAAAACTCATTTGTACTGATTTACAGTAACATAGAAGCTGACAACATGAGCAAATCAGAACACTGGAGGACTTTCCATCAAGTTTGTGCTAGTTTACAGGAAGGCCAAGTCTAACAAAATGTTTTCTCTGAAATGTTATGAAAAGTTTAAGTAAAACTGGAAATACAAACATGTGAGCAAGTCAGTTGCTCATGATATTTCTCATGCATACGTGATACTTGGTTGGAATTGAGTAGTAAAAGCCCTATAAAAATCTACAAATAATCACACTTGATGGAAACTTGAGAAACAGTTTTATATATTCAACTTTAACAATACAAATTTGTTTAACAGAGAAAACACAAAAATAAGTTACCAGACTTTTTAGTTTGAGTTTAAATATAGAACATTTTGTAACAAATAATGACTTAGATCTCAACTTTTACCAAACAATATCAGCAATTGTACAATTTTCTTTGGAGTTTTTACTTGGCAAATTACTTCCTAGAATAACATTATTCAAAATTTTATCAAAAAAGAAACATATTCAAAATATTTAACATCATATAATTTCTGAATAAGATTTCAGAATATTGTTTTTTCTATAGCATAACACAACTCGGAGAGTACATGATTGATATGATGGTTTTGAAGAGACAGATTTTCATCCCAACATCAATTATGAGTTTAACAGAAGATATTTTTCAACAACAAAAATTTTAAATATAGTTTCCTCGGCAATGGCTTTTGGTTAAGTGAAGGTCAACAATTTCTTTTTTGGTATAAAACATAAACATCACAGTGGAGGTTGACCACAACTATTACTATCCCACAAAAATCTTCCAGTCTTGTATTCCTGAACAAAATCTAAAATATTCAATGGATTGTGGTTAAGTGAAGATCAACAATTTCTTTTTTGGTATAAAACATAAACATCACAGTGGAGGTTGACCACAACTATCACTATCCCACAAAAATCTTCCAGTCTTGTATTCCTGAACAAAATCTGAAATATTCAATGGATTGCAGCAGCATTGAAGTCACCAGGACTGATTGCAGTTACAAGCTAAGATGCATACATGTATGCAAGTAAGTAAGAATTATATGGCTTGTGAAACATTGTACTTAAAAAAGACCAAAGAAACAAGTTTTATTAAGTTAATATTGTTCACAGCTAAGTCAGCTGTATCTCCAAGGGTCAAGTGTTACAACATGTTAAACTACACAAAGAGGACCTTTGATGTAATTCTTTATTACATGTAGTTTTTATTAGTTCTATAGCTAATAAAACTAAATTCATAACTGACAGTATCATAAACACTTTGAAAGCTAGTAGAACATTAAATAGCCATAAACAAGTTTTACCCTAAATTCTGGCATGTCATCCTTTTCAACTCTCTAAGTCATTATCAATAATAGATGATGGAAATAATTTATTTTAGTTTCGTAAATGAAGATAGCTTTAGAACAAAGTAAACTTGAAATCACTTCATGTTCTACTATAGGTGGAAAAAGGTCTTTCAAAAAGCATGAAATTAATAATTTACAGAGTAAATCAGCTTCATTAAAATTTACCAGATTGTGACATTTTTAACACAACCTTAACGCTGTGCAATGTATAGTTTCCAATTTTGTTGTTTTTTATACATTAAAAGAAAAATATTCAAAATTTACAATGATAAAACACATGAAATTCTTTTATTTATTTTTAAACACAAATAATATTCAATAATTCTCTTACTATCACTACAGTTTCATATTTTTTTTACCAAGTATTATTAGAAATAGGCAAACCTAATTCAATCATTGTATCTTGCACACATTTGGTTCACCAAATGTTTGCAATTATTAGATAATATATTGTACAAGAAAAGAATTATAACAAAAGTTTGCTTACGAGTTGACTGGAAAATGGTCTGTTTTGGATATCGCAATTTTGACTTAACACATGGCTTTACTAATGACTTTCTTTTACATGTTTGATCCTATTAAGTAAGTATAGTATGAAAAAGGATTCATGTATTGAGCATGAGAAGTTGAAGAACTCATTTGTTAAAATAAGACATTATCTTTTCACAAATGAAATTTCTGGGAACAAAAAGATTAATATATATATATATATATGTTACCATTATATTAAACACAGTCCACTAAATGTCCTTGAAAAAATATGTCATATTCAGTTGCTATACATAATCTATTATATTCAGCCTGAACCCGCAACATTTTGAAAGTGAAAAATTTCCAATATTTTAATAAATATATTATCACTGCATTCAACAGATGTTTCAATATTACCAGTCCAAAAAAAACAACTCTTGATTCAATAAATACTAGTTAATCATCAACATTTTCCCCACTTCCACTAGATCGAAAGTTTTTATTTTCATTGACAATATTACCGATGTCTGCTCTGTAATCTCTTGAAAGGGGAGATGGACAATGTGAATCTGACATTCCATCACCTTCAGTTCTTATGAAATCTTCAGAAAAGTTATATATACTATCTTCAGGTTGATCGAACAGATTTAGAAGCTGTGGTGGATCCATCAGTTCCAATCCATAGTTGTCTTCCCATTCCATTTGATTATTAGCCTCTTGTTCCTCGGGTGACAAGAAAGCACTGGTGTCAGCATTTGTTACATTGAAAATTTCTGTAACCTTGACCTGCATGTTATCATCAAGATAGTAAAAAGCCATCAGAGCATCATGATTTGCTGTGGCTTCCAAAATACGCTCAAAGTTGTCGGCATTTTTAGATTCAATGGTACCACAGAATTTATTAAGATCTAGGTTCAAAGCTTTATTGGCAATATCAATGGCACGAAGATTATCATCTTCACTAAGAGATCTAAAAGCCGTCATGAGCTTTCTTTTCTGACTTGAAGATGCATCTATAGAATCATCCAAATTAATGGTGAAGCCAAACTCCATGCTATTGATGATTCTTTCTGGTCCTCGAACTTCAGTTCCAGTAGATCTGCGTCTACGTGGTAACCAAGATGTTATGGACTGGTTGTAACCTTGTTCAATCCTGATGTCTTCCATTGACTTACTCTGCCTATCAACAAAAAACGGGTATGACCGAGACATTCCTTGAGAGGCCAGAGAATTAACATTCATGGATGTCAAGTATGCAGCTGGGGTATCTTCAAGACTATAATCATATTCTGTGATAGCCAACTGACAAGAGAATCTGTTGAAAACAGAAATTTCAGTATGCTTCTATATAATAGAGCTATATGTTCTAAATATACAGCTTTTTCAATGGTAGAATGATTAAAACAAAAATAATTAAAAAACATTAAAATGTGTATTCTAACTAATACTTCATAATTTCATCCATGTAAAAGATTTTAAAAGTACTAAAAACAACTTTGATAACCTATTTTCTTTTTAAATACCATATATATATATATATATATAGTCAGCCATATTGGGTAGGCAATATTACCTACAGCTTTCATATGTTAAACATTATTCAATTGAAATCTTGAATAACAGAACTCACCTTTGCTATAAATATTTACAGAAATAAGTACTTACCTTGCTTGATGCTACAGAGTAAAAGCCTTGACTTAACTAAAGAAATAAACTCTTAATGTTTGTTAACCATTTTAACAGCAATGTGTTTAAGGAACATTTTAATTATCAGAGGAAAACTCCCATTAAAAGAAAGAAAATAATTTGCTGTAAAAATTATCTAATTTGAATAAATCTTGTTATTATTCTTAAGTTGTCAGTATTTTTAGACAAAAAAAAGTAAAACCTATCAATGGATTCTTTAAAGAAATCATGCTGAGTAAGATAAAAAATAAGACTTACCAGTGACTGGAAACAATACAAGAGAATTAAATCAGAGTACTTACTGGTATGTCCATAAAATGTAAATATACTGTGCATAATCTGTTCAATGGTTCCATATGTATGTTACAGATTTTTCACTTTTTTTTTAATATAAAACAGAAAAAAAAAGAATTTATGACTTAGAGGCCTAATGTATTCCTTGAATGACTGTACCCTCTGCTGTGGACTACAATTTTGCCTATTAAAGGCTCATCAACACAGCTTGGGTCATTAAACTAAAGAAATACAGTTGGTGATGCATGTATAAAATTTATGGGGTTTTTGAGTAGTTTTTAATTCACCATATAACAACCTAAATTAACTTAGGTGTGTAAATATTATGGCATTGCCCCTAATTTATTATTCAATATTATACAGCAGACCAATTGTTTAATGATTCTATGTGTATATGCATAAACATTTTGGGGCAGTATAAAATGAAAATAAATAAATTATAAAGGGCAAAAATGGTTCTTTTTTTTGGTAGTATTTTATATTACCTACTTTGTACAGTTTATTTATCATTTTGTTCATTCAATTAGTACTCATGTTGTCTTCATGTCCTACTTTCTTATATATAATTCTTTTGCACCACATCAAATTTAATACATTGATACAAATAACTATGAATTACTCTTTTTGTTTTCAATTTGTATCTATAGAGTTCGTTGTCATCTGCTCAAGATTTCCAGTGCTTAAATCTTCATCATAAGTTTTGTTTCAGGACTACTAAGTAAATAGAAAATTAGATTTTTCCATTGAACATCTCAACATACATATTTATATTTTCAGTGGCACAGACAGCTGTAGAACCTGCTAGAAGTTTATTATGTTAAAAAGCAATATATATCTATTTCTTGTCAAAGCAGTTCATTTGTTTAACAATAAGAAAAAATTAGTCATCAACTAGTTTGTGAGATGTGTAGAACATTCTAAACTTTTATCCACTTACTTGGCACTGTACTGATGACGCTTTCTGTTTACTGAATGGATAATAGTTTTAACGATCCCCAGCACAGCAACAAGACTGGATCGTACCTCCTTCTGCAGAGTCGGCACCATCTGCCAAATCCTGAAAGTGTAATTTACACTAAGAAGTGTCATACAATTTCTACAGCTTTACTTTATGTTGTTGGAGACTAAAACTTTATATCATCTTTTTCTTGCATTGTCATGGAAATAGTTTATAATTGAAAATAGACAAAATCACAAATTAAACAAATTTCTCCTTTTACTTGTATTAATACACTTCACTGTAATATAGCAGGTTTACTAAATGTGACCTTTTGCCCATTTCATTTCCAGTGAAACATAGACTGTATTATGTTTCATGCTTTTAAAGAAAACTAACAAAATGATTTGTCATGTAGCAGAGTCCTTGTTAATATGGTTTCATTTTGACACTTGTGGCCAATAAAGATCATCTTTGAAGTTTGACTTTTAAGTGATGTTTTAGTGATAACCTGATGAATTATCAAACAATATGAAACTTCACTTATATCACCTTTGATGTTACCAATAACATTAAATAAATAGGAATATTCAGACACATGATATATGTGTACCATTGTAAAAATCAAGTAAAAAGGAAACTTCGGTTTCATAATATTTCTGTCACTATTAACAGAAAATACAGAGAAACTTCAGCTGCATGTGGTTTACATAAATGATTCTTATACTATGTTTGGTAAGCAAAGTTTACTGGTGTTTTGAAGCTTAAATATAAAATTAAGACTTCAAATATGTAGATAGTATATAAGAGTATGATTACCAGATTCTTCATGAAAATTCCCTTACTTGCAAAAGATGACAACTGTAACATCAAAAGGAAGAACATATGGAAGAGTCAGAAGAGATAACAGCTTCACAGGCTTGTGACGGAAAACCCAGTTAATAACTCCTTTGTTTACCTGATCTGTTGCCTCTTGAATGGCTGTTTGAATTAAAAAATTTTAAAACACCATGAAATATCAAGTTTCATTCTGATAAGATGTAAACTCAAAATTCCTATTTAAGTGTGAGGTATAAGACATATTAAATGGAAACAACAGTAAATTGTGTTTATGAAACACTTACACTCCCATTAATGTTATACTATATGGTTAAGTCTTTCCACTTTGATGATGTAGTACCTGTCCACAAGACTGGGGCTAATTTTCTATATACCAGTGACCAACTTTGACATCTGGCCCTCAAAAGTTAATCAGGCCTAGTACTTTATATGCAGTATCTGTTGTATAAATTGGTCAATATCCATTTATCACATGTTAAAATATGTCCACAAGGTTTGAGAAGATTTTCTATGTACCAGTGACCTTTTGATCTTTACCTTTGACCCATGACCTTCAACAGTTAATTGGGTCTAGAACTTTATATGTAGTACCTTTTGTATAAGTTAGGTCAAAATCCTTCGATAAAATATTCAGATATCCTGTTCACATGATTGGGATGGACAAATGAACAGAGGAAAGAACAGATGCAAAATAATATGCCCTGCTCTGTGATACTTTGCAGTGGAGACATAATAAATGATAACAATTTTCTTTTACAAAGTTCTTCCGAATGCTTAAAACTAGCTTGATAACTATTGCCATCCACCATGTACCAATGTTGCAATTTTACAATAATATAAAGTATGCAAAAAACATGACAATAACGAACAATAGAGAGTTTAAGACCTGAAATAGAACAAATGTGTTTAGAAAAAAAAGAAAATATTTGTGACTTAGTTTGCAAGTACATCCAGAAACATTTTACAACAGCTATTAAATTCCATTTTGATCTCTATAATACCCTTTGTAATGTTACTAGCCACTAGATGGTGCCATTTCTCAGAACAATGAATTCTTATCTGCTAGGGTATACAGGCTATTTTTTCTATCTAGTTTTTTAAACACTATCTTATAGTTATTTATTTCTTAAGTTATACTGTAACTCATACACATGAGTAAAGACAATGTTATATACACTGACTAGCGACTTTATTATGACCTTACATAATAATCATGTTCAACCATTTTTCACCACAGCAATGGTCAGACATAGACTCTACAAAAGGTTGTCTTGTTTGATTGTAGCTCTTGTGTTGAGAAATGAATATGGTTTGTAACCGGTTCAAGGATGTCAGGAGGAAGTTGTGATGGCAAATGATAGCAACTTTCAAGGTTACCACAAAATTGTTCAATTGGATTAAGATACAGTGCTTGGACTGGCCAAGAAAGATAACATGCTCTTCAAACAATTTTCAGATAATACAAGCACAGTGGATTGTTGCATTATCATCTTGGAAGTGCCCCTGTCCATCAGAGTGAACACAACATCAATACTCAAGTTATTCATCCTTCTCAAAGAAAAAAAAAAATCAAAGGACCCAATTCCTACAACAAGAATTTTCCCCATACAATTTCACCAACTCCAAGAAAAACTTGCACCGTGTCATTTTTTTCACAATTTTATTGTGATTAAAGTAAAGGGAGAAATGGAACATATCAAACTATATCACACATTTCTAGTCACTTGCTGTTCACAGTTTACACACTAATCACCAGTTAAACCATCCTTTTCTTCCTTGTTTTCATCTGAGATAAGGAGATTTTTCAAACTAGTTGTTTACTACATTATGACAGCATTCATAATGTTTGTCGCATAGAAGAGTTGGAGATAGTTGAATCTTTACCATTAATGAACGAATTGAGATATGATCTGATATATGTTGCACTTTACAAACTTTACTTTACTTTACTTTAATATCTAACAGATCATATTATCAGTCTTCTTAACATCTGTCAATAAATTAAGTATTACACAAATGTGTGTCAAGGTCCTTACAAAATAGCCAGTTGATGTGTATGAACTGACCTAATGTAAATCTCACAACATTCCAAACTGCCTTCTTTGAATGATGAAAGATATTTCCACATTTTTTTTAAACCCGTGTATTTTTACTATTTACAATCATCAGTAAATGAATCAGTTATAATAAATTTGGTAATTTCTTCAATTAAAGAACAAACAAAAAATAAAACTCCAACTTCCCATTGACAATTTAAAAATAAGTTTACCCTGATATCTCAGAATTTGATGTCCTATATTTTTATCAGAACACTTCTGCCATCTAATGGGCAATAATGTTATTATGACATTTTAGAACAATAAAAAATAAAGTGTTTAAAAAGCAAAATTAAGCTATAATAAAGACATTGTAAAGATCTGAATACTTTACATCAGGGAAAATAAGACAGGACTTGTACACTAACCTCTGACAACTGTTTCTGGTAAACTATCTAACAAAGCTATCTGCTGACGTTCTTGGCAGCCCGAACAACCATCATATTCACCTTCGACATCCAAAGCATATGACATTTCTTCATTCACATCTTCAGGATTGTCTCCTTCTTTAAGCAAGAAGCTGGATTGCACAGCCAAACATCTCATACATGAGATGAGATCTAAAAATGATCATGAGAAACTGAGTTTAGCAAGACAATTGGTAATTGAGAAGATATACTCAAGTGAACTTCAGCATAATTCTCATAAGTAAATAAAAAGAAAATTAACATGTTCCTTAATTGAAAGTGTATTTCTGATAGATACTCACTTCCATACACAGAAAGCTATGTTCCTCTTGATGTTGCACTAATAAGCCTGAGAGACTTGCATGCCACCAAACTTGTGAAAACTCCCACCTAAACTTCAGTGAATCATGTGAAATTGCACTAATGACAATTCATGCAGCAAGACCCTCCACCAATTGAAGTTTGATACACCTCCTTGCACAAATGTACTCTACATTCACAAGCAAAAATTTCATTCTTTGATGAGGGCACAAAGAAAGGTGCACCAGAAAAATGGGGAGGATGGGTTAAAAGGTGTATGGAGGTCAGTATCTATCAGAAATATATTTTTAATTAAGGAAAATTTTAACTTCCAACACAATCACTCACCTCCATACAGAGAAAGCTAGAATCCCACATTGAGAAGGTGGAGGAACTGGTGCAAAAGTTACTTACATGAGCTCCCTTCAGCAAGCATCCAAAGGAAGCCCATGTGACATCATACAGCAGGGGCACACCTGTGAGAGACTGCATTTTCTCTCATACAGGGTATACTCTTCACCCAAGAGCAGAATTAGAAGAGGCAAAAAACCTGCATGGTGTTGCAAGGATGGGCAGAATAGGTACATGACCATTGGAACAATCACATACAAAATGTAGGACAACCAATAAGTGTAGTGAAGTTGAGGCTTATTCAGACTGTACTGTGGGTGCACAAATCCTCAACCATCAGTCCAGTCTCTACAGGTCAAAACCAGTTGTGGGAGAAGGGCACTTGTGATAAGTATCTGTACACAACTTTTCTACTGTCAGACACTTTGAGCCCTTCACCAGTTACAGGAGGAGGGCATCGTGTATTCATTTTTGTTTATTGGACACAATTAATAGGAATACATATATAACCACAACTCGACCATCAGACACTACGGACCCCTTGCCTGCTGTGGGTGTGTGAGTGATACATCACAGTGGGATATGAAATAATATCATCTACTCTGTCATCAGGTACAGAGGGTTTTGGCAATTGCAGGAATAGGAAGTATGATAAAGATAGACAGAGTTACAAGCGCTATATAGTGATATATACCCATATTTCACTTGGAGATTGTGATGTATCTATATGCAATGGGGTGATCCACATTACACTCCAGAAACACCCCTGCCCAACTTCTCACCATAAACAAACCCTTGTTCTAGCATTTAGGTCCCAATCAGTGAGAATTCTCCTTGATCCACCACCTCAGTGGCTGGGAGCTAAGTGGCATGCTTGACTCAAAGGATAAGATTCACATAGGAGAGGAAAAAAGGACATAGACATGCGTACAAGTACGAATAGGACTCAAGTGTTCAAGGAGAGCAGAAATATTAGCTAAAAGTTTAATAGGGATGTAGGTAAGAGCATGGAGAACCACAATGATAATCAAACAAGCAAGAAGTAGGTGTTGGGGGCAGTGAGTAAGGAAGGAATGAAAGAGGCAGAAAAGAAGGGAACTGTGACATCGGAAAAAGTGGAAGGTGAAGGAAATGCTACCCAAAAATCTGTGATAGAAAAGACTTACAGATCACGGGAGAACTATTAGGAGGAGGGATATGTGACAATGTAATGAAGTCCAAGGGAAATGATGACAAAGAGATGAAGGGGATAAGTACATCCCATACTATGTATGGTACATGGAGGTAGAAGGGTGATAGGAGTGAGACATAAAGATAGCTACATGATTAGGAAGGTGGACTGGACAATCCCACACACAATGATAAAGGGATGTCATATTGCCAGGAAAGAGCAGTGTGTGAGGGTGGATCAGAATAAATGGAAAGTTGGGAAGGGAAAGACAGGGTTGAGACTCGAGGAGATGGAGTAATAGAAACAAGAATAGGAAGACTGTGAGGTTCAACCAAATGAACCCCTAACAGGATGTCCCAAAATTGAGATAGAACCTGAGGGAGGAGATGGAGAGGAAGAAATGCATAGTAAAAAAGACGAGACGGACCAGACAGATAGGGTGGAAGGCAACAAAAGGAGGAGGAACAATGAGAAAGCAGATTAACAGAAAACCAGTGGATGAGTAACCAATCTGTGGGCAGGATGCAGTCCTGTCAAGAAGACAGCCTGCAATGAAATGCAGTGTCCCCAGAACCTGACAGGTTATGAAATTATGAACACCTTCGAAAGGCATAGGCTCAGAACTAAGTCTGAACATGATCTTTGAGATGTATATGTAAAGAAGTAAAGAAAGCAGATCAAACCTTAGCTATGAAGAGTACATGTTACGGAGTAGGTAGCTCCATCTAAACATTGACCAAGGGTGACATAGTACGGAGCACACGAGCATGTCTAAATCCTATCTGCTAATGGTATGTGAAACAGTAATTAATTAGGTCTAATGATCATATATGATGGGAATATGTTAAGGAACAATGAACTAGGATGAAACATTATCTACTACATGTAAATGCTAAGAAGTAATGAACTATAACAAAATAGTATTTCTATGTGTTACTGGTAAAGGAGTAATGGATGAGAAACAAATACTGTCTTCCATGGGGACAAATTATGCAGCAGAATACTACAATAAAACATTAATTATTAAGTGGCCATGCTTAGGAGTAATGAATGATGTCTACACATCATCATCAAAGTGTGCAATGTAAGAAAGAATAAACAATATTGAAATATTACCTCCTATGTAATGAAAGAGAACTAAACAAGAACGTTGAAGTATGCATGCTAAAGAAGAACTAGATCGAGGTATCACCCACCTTGTGTACATATTACTGTGTAATTAACTACAACTAAACAGTACCTACTAAGTGTACATGCTAAGGAGTAATGAACTCTTATGAAATATTACCATCTAACTGACATAAAGAGTAAGGAACCATGACTAAACAATATATTCTGTGTGTTATATATGAAGAAATATTGAATTAGAAATAAACATTAACCTCTAAGTATGCAAGTTACAAATAAGCAACTATCTCAAAACATCAACAGTTGTGTATATATAAAGGATCAATAAACCATGACCAAACATGATATAACTAAGACTAAGCATTATTTTCCACGTGTACAAGAGAAGAAGTCACGAACAAGAACTAAACATTATCATCTAGGTATATGTAGTAAAGAATAAAGAGTAACAAACCAGAATGAAATATCAACCACTATGTGTTACATGTGAAAGAACAACTAATTGTAACTAAACATTAACGTTGTTATTTACATGGTAAGGAATAAGTAAATATGACCAGCCATCAACATCTATGTGTATGTGTGAAAGAGAGATGAACTCTGACTAAATATAATATACTAAGTGGTAAGAAACTATTATTAAACATTATAGTCTAATAAGTATAAGTTAATGATATATGATATATCTTATGCAGATATGTTAAGGAGTAATAAATGATGTCTAAGGTTTACATAAGACAGGAAAGTCTGGAGATATTCAGTAGGTAGAGAAGTATCGGGCAGAAAGTCCCTCTATTTTGTCCACCTCAACTGCAGCTTCAAAATCTGTAAAGGGAAATGTGTGGCAGGGATGGAAGAAGATGATCCAGGTGGCAACATGGACTTCACCACATGGTAGACGATGTGACGTTACTCTTCTTCTTACCATACTTTCAACCTGAATAGCATCTGTTGCAATACATGATGGTTGTCATGATCTCAACAGGCAAGAACTTCTTAAATTGTTGGTAACAGTGAGTGATATTTGTATTCACATCAGCAGAAAAAAGAATTTACATTAATCTGTGAATTCATATTGAGGGGTTGAAAATACAAAGTAAAGTTGATGAAGTTGTCGTAAAGGGTGTATTTGCACAAGGACATGTGTTGCACTCCTACTGGTGGAGGGTTTTACTGCATGATATCCCAACATGCAGTAGCACAAATTTATGAGGTTTAGAAGGGAGTTTTCACAAGGCTGGTGGCATGCAAGTCTCTCAGGCAGATTAATGCGTCTTTAAGAGGAAAATAGCTTTCTGTGTACGAAGGGGAGTGATTGTACTGGAATTCATCACTTCTCTGATTTCTTATCTGCTAATCACATTTTAATAGTTCTGTCTTGTTTTTACAAGCAAGTGATTGCAACAAAGGTATATTTCTAACAGTTGCATTTACATCACAGGGAGACCACATTCTTTTCAAACTTGACAAAATTCCATTTTTTTTTAGACTGGCACATGTGAGAGCAAACAATACACTGTTGTAAAAAATGTTATGTCATAATTATACCTAATTAACACTAGCCTAGTTTGTAATTTGTAGTACAGCAAAGATGGTGGAAAATAAAATTTTAGATTATTTTCTTAAGAATATTTGATTTAACTTATCAACTAGAATTAATCAGATAATTATCAAAAGATAAAATAACATAGTGACTGGGAAAAATTATATTAAAATATACCAACAATTGGTGACATAGCTAAGCATAACAGTTTTTGTGTACGTGCAGGTTCTGAGATAAAATGGGAAACACATGACTTTCCAGAATTTTCAGGATTTGAAATAAATATTCAATTTTCTCAGAATTCTTTAAGTCATTTCTCAAATTTCCTTTTATTTTTAGACTTCCACATTCTACGAAACTTTTAATAAAATACAGCAGAAAAATACTAAGCCTCTTTAGGTATTTGTAGCCACAGCTATCATGAACTGAAATATAACCTGGTAAAAATGACACTCAATTACTCCTACTGTTTTAATAAAACCCAAGGCATCAGATGTGACATAATGAAGGCATTTACTGAAGAGTATTTTCTCAAAATATTCTAATATCTTGACATTTTCAAAAGAAGCAAAGGTAAATAAGGTGAAACTACTTAATCCACATATTTGCACAAAAAAGAATTCTGAGTTATTATGTGTGTAACATATACATATAATAAAATATAAGTTGCTACACTCCTTTAATAAATAGCCAGTATTTTTTATACATATTAGTTAAAGGAAAA